TGGCTTTGTAATATAGCTTGATATCTGGTATTGTGATCCCTCCAACGTTGTTCTTCTTTCTCAGGATTGCTGCGGCTATTTGGAGTCTTTTTTTATTCCATATGAATTTTTGGAGTGTTTGCTCTAGGTCTGTGAAATATGTCATTGGTATTTTAATGTGGATTGCATTGAATCTATAGATCATTTTGGGTAGTATGGACATTTTAATGATGTTGATCCTACCAATCCATGAACACAATATATTCTTCCATTTGTTTATGTCTTCCTCTATCTCTTTTTTCAATGCCCTGTAATTTTCCAAGTACAGGTCTTTTACCTCCTTAGTTAAGTTTATTCGTAGGTATCTTAATTTATTTGTTGCAATGGTAAATATAATTGTTTTTAGTTTATCTTTCTGTGTGTTCATTATTGGTGTAGAAAAAAGCCATAGATTTCTGGGTGTTAATTTTGTATCCTGCTACATTGCTGAATTCATTTATTAAGTATAGTAGTTTTTTGACGTGGAGTCTTTAGGGTTTTCTATGTACAATATCATGTCATCTGCAAATGAGAGTTTTATTCTTCTTTTCCAATTTGGAGATGCCTTTTATTTTTCTTCTTGTCTGGTCACTACGGCTAGCACTTCCAGTACTATGTCAAACAAGAGTGGTGAAAGTGGGCATCCCTGTCTTGTTCCCATTATTAAGGGAAATGATTTTAGTTTTTGCCCATTGAGTATGATGTTGGCTGTAGGTTTGTCATGTAAGGTTTTTATTATGTTGAGGTCTGATCTCTATATTCCCACTTTGCTGAAAGTTTTTATCAGGAATGGGTGTTGGATTTTGTCAAATGCCTTTTCTGCATCAATTGATATGATTGTGATTTCTGTCTCTCAATTTGTTTATGTGATGTGCAACGTTTATTGATTTGCGAATATTGTACCAGCCTTGCATCCCTGGAATAAATCCCACTTGGTCATGGTGTATGATCTTTCTAATGAAACTAGACCACCAACTTACACCATACACAAAAATAAACTCAAAATGGACAAAGGACTTAAACATAAGATGAGAAACCATAAAAATCTTAGAAGAATCCATAGGCAGCAAAATATCAGACATATGTCGTTGCAATATCTTTACCCATACAGCAGCTCCTAGGACAATGGAAACTAAGGAGAAATACACAAATGGGACTACATGAAAATAAAAAGCTTCTGCACAGCAAAAGAAACCATCAACAAAACAACAAGAAGCTCATGCATGGGAGAACATATTTGCCAATGTTATATCTGATAAGGGCCTAATCTCCAAAATTTGCAGGGAACTCATACAACTTAACAAAAGGAAGATAAAAATCCAATCAAAAAATGGGCAAAGGACTTAAATAGACACTTTTCAAAAGTGGACATTCAGAAGGCCAAGAGACATATGAAAACATGCGCAAAGTCAATAATCATCCAAGAGATGCAAATCAAAACAACAATGAGGTACCATCTCACACCTGTCAGAATGGCTATCATCAACAAATCAACAAACGATAAGTGCTGGCGAGGATGTGGAGAAAAAGGAACACTCGTGCACTGCTGGTGGGAATGCAGACTGATGCAGCCACTGAGGAAAACAGTATGGAGTTTCCTCAAAAAATTAAAAATGGGCCCTAACCGGATTGGCTCAGTGGATAGAGCATCAGCCTTCGGACTGAAGAGTCCCAGGTTCGATTCCGGTCAAGGGCATGTACCTTGGTTGCAGGCACATCCCCAGCAGGAGATGTGCAGGAAGCAGCTGATGGATGTTTCTCTCTCATCAACGTTTCTATCTTTATCCCTCTCCCTTTCTCTCTGTAAAAAATCAATAAAATATATTTTTTTTTAAAAATTAAAAATGGAACTCCCATTTGACCCAGTGATCTCACTTCTAGGACTATATCCCAAGAAATCAGAGACACCAATCAGAAAGGATATATGCACCCCTAGATTCATAGCAGCACAATTTACAATAACTAAGATTTAGAAACAGCCTAAGTGCCCATCAGCAGATGAGTGGATTAAAAAACTGTGGTACATCTACACAATGAAATACTACACTGCTGTAAAAAAAAAAAAAAGAAGGAACTCTTACCACGTGCAACAGCATGGATGGACCTGGAGAGCATTATGCTAGAGAAATGAGCCGGTCAGAGAAAGATAAATATCACATGATCTCACTCATTTGTAGAATATAATAAGCAACATAAACTGATTAACTAAAATAGATCCAGAGACATAGAAGCATGGAACCTCACATTGAGCCTCAGAGGGAAGGCAGGGGTTAAGAGATCAACCAGCTTTGGCTCAGTGGACGGAGCATCCCGGATTCAATCCTGGTCAGGGGCGAGTATCTCGGTTGCAGGCTCTTCCCTGGCCTGGGCCCTGGTCAGGGCTCATGTGGGAGGCAACCAATCAATGTGTCTCTCTCACATTGATGTTTCTCTCTGGCTTACCCTCTCTCTTCCACTCTCTAAAGGTCAATGGAAAGGTATCCTCGGGTGAGGATTAAAATAAAAAGAGAGAGAGAGAAAGAGAGAGAGAGATCAACCAAGACTCGAATACATATAAGCATAACCAAAGGACACAGACAGTAAGGCGGCAGGAACATGTGCTGGGGGGGAGTGAGTAGGGAGAGATCAATGGGGGGAAAAGGAGACATGTGTAATACTTTCAATAATAAATATTTTTTTAATATTCTAGAATTAGACATTGTTGATAGTTGCACAATGTTTTGACTATACTAAAAAACACTTTGCATGTTAAAAGGGTGAATTTAAAATGTGAATTAATATCAATAGAAAAAGAAAAAAAATTAAATAAGCAAAAGACGAAGACACTTCAACGGAATATACAAACAGCAAAGAACAAGAAGTTCAACAACTTCAATTACTAAGGAAATAAAACCATAACACTTTATCACTATGTACCTACTAGAATGGCAAAAAAAAAATTTTTTTTAAATGACACTACTAAATGGTACAGAGCATTTAAGCACTCATACAATGCTGGGGAGACTTCAAAATGTAAAGCTACTCTGAAAAGCAGTTTCATTGCTTCACATAAATTTAATATACACTTACCATATGACCTTGAAATCCCACTTTTAGGTATTTATCTAATGAAATAAAAATTTATGATCACACAAAAACCAGTACATGAATGTTTATGGCAGCTCTTCATAATTACCAAAAATTGAAATGTCCTTCAACCCATGAAGAGATAAACATTTACAGTACAATCATACAATGAAAGTACTACTAAATAGTGTAAGAATGAAATGCTGATGTATGCAACACATTCGTTTTACATAAGAAGTTACGTGAAAGGAGTGAAACTAAAAGAAGCCAGACCCCAAAAGCCACATCATATAATTCCATTTACATAGCACTCTAGAAAAAATAAAACTGTAGGGATGGAGGCAGAACAGTGGTTCCCAGAGGAGGGGTGGGGGCTGGGTGCGATGGATTGCAAAAGGGCAGCAGAGGGAATTTGGGAGTCTTATTGGAACTCTTCCCTATCATGACAGCTGGTATATATACATCTTTGCATTTGTCAAGACAGATAGTACTGTACATCACAAGGGTGAATTGTAATTTATGTAAATTTTAAATAATCAAATCCCAGGATAAATCCCAGCCTCTGTGTTTTCCCAGACCGGGACACCTTGTATGTAGAATCAAACTTCCACTATAAACCAAAGTACACCACGAAATGTTCTTATGGCTTCCTTCTGAGGTAGGTGGAGACACGTTTTATTATTTTAACTTTGCAAATGAGAAGCAGCACAGATGAAACAATATGCAACTTTCTGTTACTAATCAGAGATGTTGACGTAGCACTTATGTCCCTAGTTCTTGTAGTCTATTATGGAACGAGGTACCAAGATTAGTAAGTAACAAGAGGTCTTCTTTACGATTACACTATGTCATAGAGGAGAAAAAAAAAATCAAGATTAAAAAGTATTTTAGAAGAAGTCTGAAAGTGTGCCCATATTCAAGAATAGTTAATTTATTAAATACACACACACTCTTCACACACACCAAAAAAATAAAAATAAAAAAATAACCCTAACCTTGGTCTGGGGGATTCATTTCATAAAGAAAAGGAATCTGACTTCTAAGGGCATATTACAAACATGAAAGCACTAAAAATGAGGCTTTAAATAAGGTGAAGCACTGGAGTACACAGACACGAAGTAAAGCTGCGTCCTTCACTGTCTAGGCAGCAGCGTGAAGCGCAGGTTTCAGCCCTGTCTTTTGCAGATCTGAGAGGTTGCACAGCTGCACCTCGTTTCTTTAAAAAGTCCGTAATTCTCTCCAACCCACCACCCCGAAGCCTCACAAACCTACTAGTTAAGACCTTCCTGGGTCAGATTGTGAATTGAAAACACACAACCGCCTCAGATTGTGAATTGAAAACACACAACCGCCCCTTTGGGTTATTACGCACAGGAGTTTCGCTTTTTCTTATCAGCGGAATCCAGACGAGCAGCCCGGGTGGCGTGGCCCGAGCACACACCCCGGCCCGGCAGCACGCAGAGACCGGGGCAGGAAGGAAGAGGGCAGGGCGTCTTGGCCACAGCGTGTGCCTTCACGTGCGGGCGGCGTGCGACACTCGCGGGCCCTCCGTCACAGCCCGCGGGGGGAATGACAGCGATGGACCGAGCACCACCGCTGCCGCCGGGCCACGAGGGGAGGAATCTGAACTCCTGACCCAGAGAGTCCAACTGCGGGACTCCCGGCCACAGCGCTCGAAAAAAGAGGGCCTTTCCCCCCAGGACCCACGACCCCTGCCCCTCCTGCCAAAAATAAACACCTCGCGGGCGAAGGCCTGGAACTGTCGCCCGGCTTTACGTAATTTGACCCCGGAGGGCGGTGGCAGGTGGCGACGCCGGGCCAGCCGGGGGCCCGAGGACCCAAGAGGGTAGGGCCCCGCTCGCGCAATGGGCGGCCGGGAGGGAGGCAGGACTGAGGGCCGGCGACCGTCTCGTTACCTCCCCAGATGCCCAGAGTGAGCTGGGACGTGTCCAGGTTCACCACATAGTCCCCCAAGAACCGGTTCAACACATCCACGACCACCGACTCGAACACCATCTTCCTCCGCCGCGGTGGGCACGGAGGCCGCACCCAGCGCGCCTGCTTCTGGCGAGGGTCCGGCCGCACCCCTTCCCCGAGGCCGCTCGGTTCACCCGCTCCGGGGCAGCTCCGACCCGAGAGTAGCCCGTGCGGGACGCGCAGCCCCGCCTCCAGGCGGGCAGGGGCGGAGGCGGCCGCTCGGCGACGCGTGCGCAGCTCGGCGGGAGGGCGGGGGCGGAGCGAGGCGCGGGCGGGAGGGGGAGCCAGCGCGGCTGCGCCACCGCCTCTCCGACGAGCTCCCCTTCCGGCTCCTCCCCCGTCGCCTGGCAACGGGGCGGAGTGTCCCCGACCCCGCCCCCACCTGGAGACTAGCGTCTGGGCGGGCGGGGGCGGGGGCGGGGGCGGGGCGGTTCGCCCTGCAGGGAAAAGGCCCACCCCTATCTGGGCGGCGGAACCTCTTCCCCGCAAGCACTTGGGCCTGGAGGTCCTGCACTTAAAAAGTAAGGCGGGATGGATCCCAGCCCTTTCGCTCTTAGGTATCCTGATGGTTGTTGTGGGGAGCACCCCTGCCATTGTTACGGGTTCGAAGGCAGGGGCTCCTGGCTTTGCTGGCTTCCTGGGTCCCCCAGCCTGAATGTCTGCATGCCTGTAACTGCCTCCCTCCGAGCGCAAGGCGAGGACGTATCGCAGCTCACTTAACTTACCCGGCAGCAAATCGTGAATAAACTCGGGGTTGCAATTCTGCACCCCTTCCCTGCATCTGAGATGGCACTCTTTTTTGATAAAAAAAAAAAATGCAGAGCCACCTTTCATCCCATAGAAAGTACCTTCAGATTCAGAGTTAAAGAAATCAGCCAAGAATTAGAGCTAACAAGTTTGTGAGCAAGGTCCCAACCTTGATGGAGAATCGATATAGCGATGTGTGAACTTTCCAAAGTTTGCCAAAAGACACGAACAGACATTTCCTGAAAATGATATACACATGGCACATAAGCACATGAAAATATATTCAATATTATTAGCCATTGAGGAAATGAAAAAACACAAATGAGGTATCGCTATCACTACATACCTATCAAAATGTTTTTTTTAAAAAAAAAAAAAAACTGGTGATGCCAAATACTGGCGAAGATGCAGAAAAACTGGTTCATTCATGCATTATTGGGAATATGCAATGGAACAGCCACTCTGAAAAACAGTTTGCCAGTTTCTTTTAAAAATAATTTAATAAGCTAGTGTCTACCATACAAACCCGCAATTGTATTCCTGGACATAATCCCTTAGAAATGAAAACCTGTATATACACAAAACTTGTATATGAATGTTTATAGTGGCTTTATTCATAATAGCCAAACACTGGAAACAACCCAAACGTTTTTGAACAGATGAATAGTTAACCTGTATGTAGTACATCCATACCATGGAATACTACTCAACAATAAAAAGAAATGAACTATCAATACATGAAACAATTTAGGTTGAATGAGGAACATTATGCTGAGTAAAAACTGTATAATTCTATTTATAAAACACTCTTAAAGTAACAAATGTAGAGACATAAAAAAAGGTTAGCAGTTGTTAATGGTTAGGTATGGGGAGGAGGGATGAGTTGGGTGTAGCTGCAAATGGATAGCAGGGAGGAGCCTTGTGTATATGAAACATTTCTGTATCTTGATTGTGGTAATGGTTACATAAAATTGCATAACACTATGCACACACACACACACACACACACACACACACACACAAATGAGTGCATATAAAATTGGTGAAATCTGAATAAGCTCCATGGATGATACCCATGTCTTTATTTCCTGGTTTTCATACTGTACTATAGTTATGCAAGGTGTTATCATTGGAGGAAACTGGGTTAAAGGTACATGGGACCTCCCTGAAAATTTTTTTGCAACTTTCTATGAATCTATAGTTATTTTGAAATAACTTTTTAAAGGCTCTGCTACCTTCGGGCCTAATAGGGGCTGCCCCAGTGCATGATATGAGCCTGAGAGCTAAGAGATTCTACATGATGCTTTTTTGTCCCTGTGCATGGTGCTTGGTAAAATATTCAAAAAGGAAAAGTATCTGTATGTGATACCTTATCAGAACACATTAAAATATCAATTATTCTGTGGTCCCCAGTAAAATATTAGAAAGAGAGAGACGTATAATAAGGGATTTTCAAGCACCTTCCTCTGGCTCTAAGAAAATGACGGAGCATGTCACCCCATGAAGAGGAGTCCCAAGTGTGGATGTCCATCAGTGTTTGCTGATCCCAGATTTTCACATGACTGATTCTTGTCATTCAGGTGTCTACCCAAATATCACCTAATTATAAAGGTGGACCCTGACTGCTCAGTCTCAAGCAGCCAGCAGTCACACTGTCATATTCACCTTATTTACCACTCTCTGAAATTATCTTCCATATAGGGTTTTTAAATTTCTCTACCACCCACCATTGCCACTTCTAGAACAGGGAGCTAAGGTGTCTAGTTCACTGTTGTATCACCATACCTGCATGAACACTTGACACATCATAGGTTTTCAATACATATTTGTTGAAAGAATGAACAAATGTTAGATATGAAGCCACCACCAACTCTCACAAGACCAAACGTACCACCAGAGAAGTAGACCGACTGGAGGAGAGACTATTCAGTTCAGTGGGGACAAAAACAAACAAGAAGACAGGTTGTGATTGTGGAGTGAAGTTGCAGCCCAGGAGCAGTGGCATTGGAGCCTGGCTGGGGCCTACCTACCACTGCAGTGAGAGAGAGAAATGATGTATGTGGCAAGCAAGACCCTAGATCCAGAATTAAGGTCCTGTTGGCAGGACCCAGGTGAATGAATCCAAGGAGGCCAATCTAATCTCCAAAGAGCACCCTGAAGGATCCTTCAAAACATAAGTCAGATCATGTCACTCTGTACTCCATAACTGCCCACGTCACCATGGTAACGGCCACAGCCCTTACAATGGTAGATAAGGCCCTACCTAAGCAGCCTTCCCCTCTACCCTGCCCTTATCTAGAATGCTCTTTCCTCAAATATTTGCATGACTCACTCCCTGTCTTTGCTCTCTTGTCTTTTTTTATTTTTTTCAGCCCTTTCCTGAACAGCCGGTTTAGAATTGATACCTGTTCTCTTCCTACCCCTCAGCACTCCTGTCACCTTCACTGCTTTTATCTTTCCTGCGAGCACTTACCACCTAACATGCTATTTTTTATTTATTTCCTTCTTGTTCATCTCTCTCTCCCCACTATGGTATATATAATATAACGTAAGCTACTCAGGGAGAAATTAATATTATTGTTTTACTCGTGGTTCTGTCTTCTATGCCTAGAACAGAGTAAGCACTCAGATATTTGTGGAAGGCAGGAAAAGCCTTCCTGCCAGATATTGAATTATTGTCCATCAGCGTAAAACCTACTCTTCTATATCTGCTCTGTGATGCTGGGGCAAACCACGTTCATCTTCCACAGCTGACTCCTAGTCGGGCTCTGCCAAGAGCGAGCTATAGAGGGGCTAGAGGAGGAAGAAGGGACTTGCTTCTTTCTGTTTTTCTTTATGGGGCTTCCTGTCTACTTCCTTTTCTTGTGAGCACCACCCCAGTAACCCTTCTTCACCCAGACACCAGCAGTTCCTTAGCAGCACCTGCATCTGACTTACATTTCGCACAATTGGCATCATTTTGCATTATCTCAGAGACAGCAGAACCAACCTCATCATCTCCCCTAACAGAGACACCCAGCCAAGCAGACCCCTCCTTAGAGGTCTGAGTTTCAGCCCGTGGGCTCCTCTTCTACTTTTCCACCTCTTTCCCTTTGCTCATTCAACCCTTCGAGTTCTATTCACTTCCTGCTGTAACTACCTGGGTGATACATTAAACCACTATTTTTCACTATTTCACTACTTAGCAATTTTATACTTGGTTAACAGTCTCTCGTACGTATTTCGCTCTATGGGAGCCGAGTTAGGACCTGCAATTGAGCAGTATGAGTGAGGGGAGATATTGGACTGAGAGAGGGAAGCAGCAGCTTTAAAGGGAGTAAATGCAAATTGTAGGTGAGGACGGAAGCCAGATTCAGGGTCAGAGATAAAATTAAGTTTTGGGACTGCAATTGCCAGTCTATAAATAGGCAATGAGTCCAAGGATCAAGGGCTGGGATAATCAAGAGCAGGCCAGGCAGCGAAGTGTGAGGTGGACACAATGAAGGCTGCAGGGGAGAGATAGGCCACCCATATGAAGTGCTGGGGGGTCTGTGCCCGATGGTCCTGTGACCCAGGAGCAGTGTGGGGTTAGGTTGTTCACTGCAGACTGAACCCACTGATACCAGCCTATTCCTTGTTTCTTCAGTCCAGCTCCCAATTCCTAGGCCACTATTATTTTAGACAGAATTTGGAAGTCCTTGCAGATATGAACTCTCGGCCTATCTGAACTTTTGAATATTGACCACTATCTCGATTTCCTGCTTCTATTCTCTTTCCTCCCTAGGTGAACCATTGATTAAACTGGAGGCTGTATGATCCTGTGTGTGGTGTGTGTGTGTGTGTGTGTGTGTGTGTGTGTGTGCGTGCGCGTGCTTCCCACAGAGGTTGGGCATTTCAGTGTGTACTTCTAAGGCCAGCCCCATTTGTTAGTGCAAATAATCTGAAACATACCCATGGGAGGCACTGACTAGTGTGAAAGTTGACGTAAGTGGAGCCATTTTAAAATGAATGCAGAGCAGCCATTCCAGAGGAACAGTCTTGCATGTCCTGCTCCTTGAATCTGTGGACTGTTTGAATCAGACCCGACCTTTGAAATGACCCAAACAAACATTGTCTTATCACAATTGTTTGTAAAGCCAGCAGGAAAGCAGATATCCTGACCATAAGGATCGATGATTATGGATTCTCTATCTGATGATAGAATCAGTATCTAACCATTTATAGCTAAAGAGGAACTCAGCTTATTAGCAACAATAGGAATTTCTTCATGTAATTCGTTATTTTCTTTTCTCATAAAAGCCCTTTGTCTTCACCTTTGGGACACTATTTGGGTTTCTGCCAGAATTTGGGCTTCCAGAATTGCAATTCTTTAATCCCAAAGAATATAAAATGAATATAACTCCAAAGGTTTAATGAGCAAAGGGGCCAACGAGGATGGAGTGTGGTGGGAAAGTTC